TCCTTCTTAGGGAGTCTTTAAAAAAAATGTGACCCATTTCCAAGTTTGCATGCGGCATGCATTGATCCGCTGCTCATTATGGGAAGAAGCATACGCAAATGCATGCAGTGTGGGGGCCCAGCCAAGCCCCGCCCGTGGGCTGGTGTGGACCGGCTCCGGCTGCCCGCTGGGGAAGCCACAGCATCTGGGGACCGGAGACAGGTGCTTGCCCCCCGGGGGGAAGCTGCTTTTATGCTTTTAAAGAACTAAACTGTGACACTACCATTTAACCCGCCTTGGACTTAGATGGGACTTAAACATTTTAAGAACTGTAACTGCACAAAACATAGTTACGCACAGCTGGGAGTCACCCTCTAGGGGACACCATGGAATCATGCCGCTGAGTTTTCCCCGTGAAATTCCTCCGGAGCCAGACCTGCCACGTCTCTCCTCACAGGGACCGCCTGGGGAACTCGGCCGCAGAGCACGCCTGCTCCTCGCCCATCAGTCTGAGCAGGAAAAGAAGCCCAGCCTCTGTCGGAGGGTGACAGGTTGTGCTGAGATGCAGTGAGCTGGAGCGTACCCCGAGCGGCACTGCCCGGCACTGCCCGGCACTGCCCGGCACAGCGGCCACTCGCCACAGGTGGCTCTCCAGCTCGTGGCGCGCCCGTCCAGGGTGAGCTGAGCCGTAGCCGTAAAACACACACGGAAGAGCGTGCACAGTGACTCACTAATACCCGCTATACTGATCAGAGGAAACACGATATTTGGATTTATTAGGTAAAATATTGTAGTTTTACCTTAATTATTTTCACCGATTTCTTTTCCCTGTTTTTTAAAAATGTGTTTTTATAGATTTGAGAGAGAGGGAACCAGGGAGAGGAAGAAAGAGAGAAACACCAATAAAAGAAGAGACCCATTGACTGGCTGCCTCCTGCACACGCCCTAGTGTGGATAAAGCCTGAACCCTGGGCGTGTACCCTGACCAGGAATCGAACCAGCGACCTCTCAGTGCCTGGGACGACGCCCAGCCCACTGAGCCACCCCAGCCAGCACTCTTTTTCCTGTTTTTGATGTAGCTGTTAGAGATTTAAAGCTGACACATGGAGCTCACATTAAGTTCCTATTGCACAGTGCTGCTCAAATATCATTCTCTTAAAATAAACAAGCGATCAACATCTTTGAATTATTTATCTGCCTTTAATGATTGTTTGCCTTTCTGCAATAAAATGGAACCCAGCTCCGTACTGGCAGAGGGAGGTGGGTGGTGGGAGGCACTGGAGTCCCATTGTTTCCACACCTGATGGATGGTTTACATTATGAACAGGTACAGGGAGGGAAAAAGATGCTGAATCAAACGTAAATGCAAACCCAGTCTGAGAGGTGCCACAGACATCGAACGACAGCTCTCCGGAACATTCTGGAACGAGCTGAGGTCCCTCTAACACAGCAGTACGGCAGGTCCCCCTGACGTCTCGGTGGCCAAACATTGCCTAGTTTGCTGGCCGAAAGGATTCACATGAAAGAACATTTATGAACGGCCCGGACTCTGCAGGTGATCCCTGCGAAGGTGGGCACGTCACACGTGTAGCGTTTCACTTTGTAACCACCCAACTGGTCCAGGAAGCATACCCCCCAAAAATGGCAGTGCCTTAAATTATTATTTTAAAAATTCGTATCAATGACCCAAATTCTAAGTTCACAACGCAATTCTGAAAGTTGGCACATTCTAATTTGACATGATTTAGTGCTTATAATAAAAGGATCTAAAACACAGTAATTAGAAATTGATGAATCTTGAATGACAAGTCAACAAAATACGTGTGGAGAGTCTTCTTTAAAACACACACACACACACACACACACCCGTACCCTGAGCCAAACGCATGCCACAGACCCTCCGCTCTCCCAAGGGGCAGCCAGGGCAGCGTCGGCCCCTGGAGGCCGCAGCCCAGGAGCGGGGCCTGGGGCTCCGAAGGCTCCTGTCTTAGCGTGCTAACTTCCCCATGTTTCCGTCGGCACTGGGAACGTGGGCTGCAGTATGTCTGCATTTAAATCATAGAAATTCACCCACAGGCACGTGGCTGAAGCAAGAGCCATTTTTAAAAACAGCAGACAGGAGTCCCAGCATCCCACCCCATTCGATGAAATGCTGCCCAGCGTAGGAAGGGAGAGAAGACGTGTCTCTTTTAAACTGGTGTCAGCTCCCAAGCCTGCCATGAGCTTCGGTCTCCGGGTGACTGAGACACCGCAGAGTACCCGGGCTTATGTGTTGACTCAGGCGGTGAGGCCCTGGCTGGCGGACCTGGCAGTGTGCTGATGGCACAGCGTGCTCATTAGGCCGTAATGTCCACTCCCCTGGTCCCGGCCCTCTCCTGGCTCTGTCCTCCGCCCACCGCCATGCCTGTGCTCTGGAAAGATCACCTGGCGGCTGCGTCACACAGACCGCCGGTGGCCAGGAGGCCGGAACAGCAGGCACTTGGTGGCCTGAGTCACTAACGGGGTGGAGAAGGACAGAGTGGACTGAGCTCTCCCAGGAACGGTGCCAGGATGGCTGCTTCGTGGTGGTTGCTTCAGTTGCTAACAGGACTCCACACATGGCACACCATGGACCTCTCTCCCATCGCACACCTTCTTAATGTTGGCTGGGATGAGCCTAGAGCCACCTCTTTACGCCCCCTCCTGCCTCAGCTTCACGCTGGTTACGGGGCGCAGCCCGGGCCTGGTTCATGCAGTTACACATTTGCTCAGGAGCGGCTGGGCTTCCGGAGACTCGGGAGCAATGACCCCCCTGCCTAATCTCTCATTCAATTCCAAAACCGAGACAGGAGACTTGCTACAGGTGCACAATACATACAGACCAAGGAAACGTGCAGGTAACACCACTGACCACGTGGGGTCACACTCTCCACTGTGCAGACAGGGTATCGCTGGAAGCTCAGGTAAGTTTCTCATTCCGAACACAAAGGTGAGAGCTTCTGAAATTCAGACTATACAATTCCCAGAAGGATCCCGAGAGACAAACATGATCTCATTTCACCCAGCGAGTGACAAGTATGACATCACTGTGTTTTCAAACCCTGCGAACCAGCGGTGCCGGGTGGTGCATTTTCCTTCTTCCCAACAGCAAACCACCACAGCCCGGCGTCTTCCAATGAGCGCTGTGAGGTCTGGGGGTCCCTGGGGCCAAATGTTCTCTGCCCCCATTGCTACCGGTTTGCTAGCAATTTCTTTAGCCTCAGAGTTACAATGAGAAGACAGTCACTACTTTGCATAACCACACTGTAATTGCTATCAGGGTGAAATCCAACCGATTGAAGTATCAGTACTTACACACACACACACACACACACCCCACAGATACACACACACCACAGACACACACACACCCCCCCCACAGATACACACACACACACACACCCCATACACCCCTCACAGATACACACACACACCCCACAGATACACACACACACACACCCCCCACAGATACACACACACCACAGACACACACACACACACCACAGACACACACACACCACAGACACACACACACCACAGACACACACACACACACACCTCACAGATACACACACACACACACACACACACCACAGACACACACACACACCCCTCAGATACACACACACACACACACACACACACACCACAGACACACACACACATACCCCATAGATACACACACACACACCCCACAGATACACACACACACCCCACAGATACACACACACACCCCACCCCCCCACACAGATACACACACACACACACTCTCACACCACAGACACACATACACATACCCCATAGATACACACACACACCCCACACACATCCCCCACAGATACACACACACACACACACACACACCACAGACACACACACACATACCCCATAGATACACACACACACACACCCCCCCCACAGATACACACACACACCCCCAGATACACACACACACCCCACAGATACACACACACCCACACACACCCCAATATCTGGCGAAAGAGAATAACAGGCACCCAAGGAACAGACTGTCTAATAAGGTGTGCCCCACGTTTGAGCTGTTTTCTTTTGGAGGTTGGAGGGCAAGTGATGTTAAAAATACCCATGTGTTTTCAGGCATCGCGGTGTGTAAAAAAGAGGCAAATGGAGGCTCTTCCATAACACGGATGACGGCAACAAGGATAGGAACTCGCTTGGGGTTATAAACGCACCGGAGCCGTGGGCCTCTGGTGACACGTGTGCTCCCGGGCGGTCACCTCACCTTTCTGAGTCTGCTTACTTGTTTGTAAACCGGAATCACAGTACTTACTATGACATGTGAATTTTTGTATGCCCCCCATCTCCCCCATATCTAGGTGAGATAAACAATAAGCAGGAAAATCAGCAAAAAGGTCTCGGCATGTGTCCCTGTCTGTGCCATTGTCATCCTGCCATACGTTGGTCCAAAGGCACCGATGTGACGTAAGTAAAGTTATAACGTGACACAAGCTGTTGGTATTTCAGATCAAACCCCCGGCCCAGTTCCAAGGTAGATCCGCGTTTAAAGGATTACCCTGATATAAACCACAGCAAACCTCTTCTGTACCGAGTCACACATCAATACGTTAGGCTTTTCGGGCCACCTCTGATTTATGCCACGTGTGCTTCATTTTTCAACCCTTTAAAAACATAAAACCACCCTTTCCTCAAAGGCCAGGGGCAGACTGGGCACAGCCGGCCCGAGACGGCGTCCTTGCTGTTAAGCTGTGCTCAGTCTGCACCCCGTGTCTTCAATGTCTCCCCGCCCCGCTACTTCCCCACTTTTTTTTTTCTTTACTATTCATTTGCCAAAAACCTAATAACATTTGCTTTTCTAGCACGAAAGGAGTTCCAACTACCGCGGCCTCAGGCTCATTCTGAAAAGCTCTGTTTCACACAAGCACTGAACCCAGTTCCTGGAGAAAACCTTTCCTGGGTCTCTCGGCTTCGCAGGGCGCTCCGGGCGGGCGGAGGCCGGGCCTTACCTTGCCGGGGGCACGTCGATGCTGGAGGAGACCACTTTCCGCTTCTGCTCCAGGAGGCAGACGGAGCGGGCGCTGTCCCTGTCGTGGTCCGGGGCGCGGGGGGCCGGCCTGCTGTCGGCGGCTTTCCCGTCCTCCTCCATGGCCAAGGGGAACCAGGGCTGGTGAGACAGTTTTTTACTCGAGTCCCGTTTCAGGTCCTCCAGGTGAAACGTGAAGGTCATGTCCCGCTTGATGCTGCCCACCTATGGAATGAACACACATCGTCACTCACACACCTGGGAGCTCTGCAGGACCGTGTGCAGGGGCCGCCAGGGGAGACCAGACACTACCCTCCCTGGTCAGCTTGAAGGGTGTGTGTATAGTGTAAATGAGAAAAGTGCAACATACAAATAAAATAGCTGACACCACAGAGGAACGTATGATTAATGCGTCTTCTGTCCTCTGCAGACAAAAGCACAAAACACCAGAGGAGCCTTTCGGGAGAACAGCAACTTCTGGGGCTTGAAAGCATAAGACTTGTAAACAAAATCCAAAAATGTAAAACATCATTGCTTTCTACAACTGAGAAAACTCAATTAAATCGATAAATTCCTTTATTTTAAGCCTTTATTGTTACAGTATTGTAGGTACACCTCTTCTATTGCCCCTCCACCTGGTTCCTGCCCAGCTCCAGGCCCTCACCACCATATTGTCGGTGTCCACAGGTATGCATATATGCATATAGGTTCTTTGGTTAATCTCTCCCCACCCCCACTCCCTTTCCCTCTGAGATTGGTCAGTCTGTTTCATGTGTCCATGCCTCTGTGGTCTATTCTATTCATCAGTTTATGTTGTTCATTAGATTCTTGTTCATTTATTTTGACTTTCAGATTCAATTGTTGATAGGTACACATTTATTGCCATTCTATTGTTCATATTTTTAATCTTTTCTTTCTTTCTTCACCTTCCTCTTCTCCTTCTTCAACACTCTTTAACATTTCATGTAATACTATCCTGTTTCCCCAAAAATAAGACAGTGTCTTATATTAATTTTTTCTCCCAGAGTTGCACTAGGTCTTATTTTCAGGGGATGTCTTATCTTTCCATGCACTAGGTCTTATTTTTGGAGGATGTCTTATTTTCGGGGAAACACGGTAGTTTGGTGGTGATGAACTCCTTTAGCTTTTTCTTGTCTGTGAAGCTCTTTATCTAACCTTCAATTCTAAATGATAGCTTTGCTAATCTTGGTTGTAGGCTCTTGCTTTTCATCACTTTGAATATTTCTTGCCACTCCCTTCTGGCCTTTAAAGTTTCTGTTGAGAAATCAGCTGACAGTCATATGGGTGCTCCCTTGTAGGTAACTAACTGCTTTTCTCTTCTGCTTTTAAGATTCTCTCTTTGTCTTTAACCCTTGGCATTTTAATTATGATGTGTCTTGGTGTGGGCTTCTTTGGGTTCCTCTTGTTTGGGACTCTCTGTGCTTCCTGGACTTGTAAGTCTATTTCTCTCACCAAGTAGGGGAAGTTTTCTGTCATTATTTTTTCAAATATATGCTGCCCACATGTGAAGTGAACACAGTTTCTCCTTCTGGTACCCCCATGATGTGAATGTTGTTACTTGAAACTGTCCCAGATGCTCCTTACACTAACTTCATATTTTTTTAATTCTTTTTTCTTTTTGCTCTTCTGATTGGGTGTTTTTCCTTCCTTATATTTCATTCTCAGCATCCTCTACTCTATTGTTGATGCCCTGTAAATTATTCATCTCAGTTAGTGTATGCTTAATTTCTGACTGGTTCTTTTTTTGTTGTTGATGTTCTCATGAATTTCGTTGAAATTCTAAGTTCCTTGAAGTTCTCATTAAGTTCCTTGAGCAGCCTTATAACCACTGTTTTGAACTCTGTATCTGGTAATTTTCTTGCTTCCATTTCACTTAATTCTTTTTCTGTTCTTTCTTCTGTGACATGTTTCTTTGTCTTCACATTATGGCTATTTCTCATGTTTGTTTCTATGTATCAGGTAGAACTGCTATGTCTCCCAGACTTGGTAGAGTGACCATGGGTAATAGGTGTCCTGTAGGCCCAGTAGCTCGGCCTCCTCAGTCACCTGACTGGGCACTCCAGATGTACCCCTGTGTGAGCTGTGTGCACAGTCCTGTTGCAGGTGAGCCTTGAATGATGTTCGAATCACTGGGAGGGATTGACACCAGGCTAATTGGTTGTGAGGACTAGCTGCAATTACAGCTGAAAAGTTGCTGTGCAGGAGACACTCCTATGGAGCAGGACTTGCTACAGTGGGGTTTGGTGCTCACTGAGTCTGCCCCTTGAGTGTGTCACTCAGGGATGTGTAGGGTTGTAATCGGGTGTGGTGTGAAGCTATCCACTAGGAGCACTGGCTCTGGGGCCTCCTGGAAGGTACAAAGTCAGCCTATGCCTATGCCCTGCCCAGGGCAACCCAGCATGAGCTACAAAGCAATCTGCAAATGGCTGCTATTTGTGTTGAGTTTGGTGATGCCCAGGAGAGGCCAAGCTGTGAACCAGAGTGAGCTACAACTAGTGCCAGGCCTGGGGCCACTTATTGAGAGTACAGGGCATGCTGAGGCCAGCTGCTGCTTGTTTGAGAGATTTTAGCAAAGTCCAGAGGATGAGACAAGAGAGGCCAGTTGAATGGAAATGGCTTGGATGAGCCTGCAAGCAGGGAGGGGTGGGGTCTCAGGGAATCACCAGGGCAGGGATAAAAGTGTGAACCAGGCTGATGGAGATTCTGATATGGTGAAGCCTGTCAGCTCTGTGGCAGGGAGGGCTCAGCAAAGGAACAATGGCCTCTGCCAGGCCTCCGTCTTGGAGAAAGCTGCCCCTCCAGCTCTTGCCCTGGTTCCAGACTAGTTCCTCCCCGAATGTCCCAGGTTCCTTTCAAGCTCAGAGGGAATGATTCTGAGTAAGTCCATGCACACGCCCTTTAAGAGAACTTCCTGGGACTCCCACAGCCTCCATGTCCCACTGAGCCAAAATCCCTGCTGTTTTTTACAGCCCAAGGTTATGGGGACTTCTCTTGCCAGCACTGGAAATCCAGGTTGGGGGCCTGGTGTGAGGTAGGGACCCCTGTTCCTCAGGGAGACCTCCATAGCCTGGATAGCTCTTCCGATAAAAAACACTGCACGTGGATGTCAGTCCAGCTGGTTCTGCAATTCCACCCCGTGTCTCTGCCCCTCCTACTCGTCTCCGTGTGCTTCTTCTCTAATTCCCTGGCTGTAGGACTTCTGTTCAGCTAGATTTCAGGTGGTTTTGAATGATGGTTGTTCTGTATTCAGTTTAAATTTTGAAATGGTTGTGGGAGGTGGTGAGTACTGTGTTTACCTACACTGCCATCTTGACAGGAAGCCTCTAAAGTTTTCAAAGTCAATAAATTCTTAAATATTTCATGCTGATTATGTTTTCCAGAAGACAGTGATGACTAAAAACACGAAGGCTACCTTTGACCGTGAATACTGGTCTTCACCATAGTCGTATGTATGCTCAAGAAGAACTGGATTTTATCCTTTATTTGCAGCGGTTAATATCTTCAGGAAATCCCTCCATTGATATGACAATAAAAAAGATATTAACTTTCCTTATTGTTGACTAAATACAACAATGCGTAAGGCGTGAGGCAAATATAAAATGAAACCGCAGGGAACTGACTCCGGCTGTTTCAGAATCTGGGAAGAGTGAGGAGGAGACGGACGTTACAGAAAGGTCTGGGTGAGGTGATGGGGACTGGAGATGAGGTTCAGAGCAAACACGGTCCAGTCTTAAGTGTGTGACGATAGCCAGTACCCTGGGTCCTCACTGTCAGGGTTTTCAAAACACGCCTGAACGACACGTCACAGCTCCACACCTCAGCGCGTCCCTCAGGACTCCGTTCCTGGGGTGAGTAAATCTTCGCCCGCCCACTCACGTAGAAGCTCTGCTTGTTTGTTTCTTCTTAGGTTCAGGTAGGAGGAAAAGCATGAAGAAGGTCATCAAATAGATTTAGAACTTTAAAAGCTAAAGCCACAAACAAAGAAATTTTCAGAATAACACAAGACAAGGATGCATGTTCAGCGGAAGTGGAGACTTGGCAGAGCATGATATCGATGGGCAGAGATTCTCAGACGGAAGAGAAGCTCGGAGCTGTGTGTGCTGGAGCCACAGGGCTGCCCACGGATGAGGGCGCCCACGGATGAGGGCGCCCACGGATGAGGGCGCCCACGGATGAGGGCGCCCAGGAAGACCTGCGCTGCCGCGGGGCCTGGGCCCGTCTCACCGCTGCTCGTCAGGCAGGAGGGCCTCTCTGTGCTCCGGAGGCAGAGCCGGCTCCACAGGAGAGCCGTCAGCACGCCTGCCCACCTGTGACTCACTAAGGGACCAGAGCTCTTTAATAACGTAAAAGGCCAAGAAAAATAAGTGTTTTTTAAAAAATATATTTTACTGATTTTTTTACAGAAAGGAAGGGAGAGGGATAGGAACTTAGAAACACAGATGAGAGAGAAACATCGACCAGCTGCCTCCTGCACACCCCCCACTGGGGATGTGCCTGCAACCAATGTACCTGCCCTTGACTGGAATCGAACCTGGGACCTTTCAGTCCGCAGACCGACGCTCTATCCACTGAGCCAAACTGGTTTCGGGAAAAATGAGTGTTTTTAAGAGCTGTTTTAATGACACCAATACATTATACAGAGGTATAAGAAAAGACTTCAAACTTCCAATAATGCAATGAGTGTTCAATAACAATGCAGTTTATTATGATGATGATGATTATTTTTAAATACTCACTTGAGGATGTTTTTCCATTGATTTTTAGGGAGAGTGGGAGAGAAAGGGAAAGACAGAAGAAATATCGATGTGAGAGAAACACGAGTCCCGACCGTGGCTCGGGCTGGGGACAAGCCTGCAAACAAGGTACATGCGCTTGACTGGAATCGAACCCGGGGAGCCTTGGGTCCACAGGCTGACGCTCTATCCACTGAGCCAAACCGGCTAGGGCAGTGGTCGGCAAACCGCAGCTCGAGAGCCACATGCAGCGCTTTGGCCCCTTGAGTATGGCTCTTCCACAAAAATAGCACGGCCTGGGTGAATCTATTTTGAAGAAGTGGCGTTAGAAGAAGTTTAAATTAAAAAAATTTGGCTCCCACCGAAACCGGTTTGGCTCAGTGGTAGAGCGTCGGTCTGCAGACTGAAAGGTCCCAGGTTCGATTCTGGTCAGGGGCATGTATGTTGGTTGCGGGCACATCCCAGGTGGGG